CCAAAAATGGTCTTCATTCTTGCAGTAAATGGGGCCAAAAAAAAAAAAAAAAAGCTGGAAAAGTAGTTCTAAAAATTAATTTTTATAATATGGGTGTTTTTCCCTACATACATGTCTGTGCACCATGTGTGTCCAATGCCCACAGAGGCCAGAAGATCCCCTGGTACTAGAGGTTGCAGGTGTGGGTGCCGGGAATTGAACCTAGGACCCCAGGAAGGGCTCTTAACTGCTAATCCACCTCTCCAGCTCCATTTGTAGGAAAATATTAAAAGTCATTTGTACCCACGTGGTGGCCCTTAGTCCCTGCACTTGGGAGGCAGAGGCAGGCAGATCTCTGGAGTTTAAAGCCAGCCTCGTCTACAGGACAGCCAGGGCTACACAGAGAAACCCTGTCTTGAGAAAAAAAAAAAAAGTCATTTGTAGTTAATCCATGATTCATTTGTGAGAGAAGAAAGCTTTGTGTGTGTACAGTAAACACAGTGCAATTCATAATATACAATTGCCTAGAATCTGAGCGGAGGCAGCATTTGTTGGTAGTTTGTGGCAGGACGGCATCGGTGTGCCATGTTCAGAACCAGGGCTGCAGTGATGTCTTGGATGCCAAGAGGGTGAGCTGGTTTATGGGAAACACCTAGGGTTCCTTATGTGTGTTTTGGTATTATACACTCAGACACCACTTTTACTAGTATCAGATTTTTTTTCTTCGCTCCCATGGTTACACTCCTCCATAGCTGAAGGAGGTGTGATCTACAGAAACTGAAGCCAGCTCTGCCTCTGATGATCATTCATTCCTCTGGAAACAGAGGTGCCACTACTCTCTTGAAGATTCAAACTGTTAATTCGGACTCCCCACTGTCTCCAGAAAACTTGGGAGAGTCTTTGTCTGGCTTCCTAAGAAGCCCTGGTCACCTAGACCCCAGATGTGTCATGGGCCTGGAGCCTGGGTCAAAGAGACCAGGCCCCAGCATGAGGCACTTTAATCCCACAGTGTGTGTGTGGGGGGGGGGGGGGGGGAGAGTAGGCCCTGTCTTGAGCCCTCTGCACTAGTTATCCTGGGGATTTTCCCAGGTGCTCCACAGAGGTCAGCTCAGACCTTGGAGGTGCCCCAGGTGGTTCCCAAGACCTGGGAGCTCAAGAGCTGAAAAGGCCTTTGTCCTGAGGCAAGAAAGTGAATTTAGCCTAGAGCCCAAGCCCCAGACCACAGTGATAGTTCTGGGCCACCCAGGTCACCTCAAATTCCCAGACACCAGGCTTTCCAGAGGATTCTGTGGCGGGACCTCGGGTTTGGTTTGCCTCAGTGGTAGATGGGCCCAGGTTAGAAAGAGATGTGAAAGTAACAGACCGCTCTGGAGACTAGCCCATTCCAAAATGGAAGTGAGGGCCAGCGGGTGTGGCTGATAGTGGAGGGCTTGTCTAGCAGGCACCAGGCCTGGTTTCAAACCTCAACACTGCAGACAAGGGAGAAGTACCCGCCCAGAACTACACTGTATGGTAAACACCGGGATAGACTGAGTGTGGTTTCCAGCTTCTCCATAAGGAAGTGGGATTAGCCGATCCATTTAAGGCTGTGGCAACATAAGGTGAACCAACATCTCACTGTTAACACCAAGAGGTATGCCTCGGGGGTGGGGGGTGGGGTGGCTCCGAAGGATAGGCCTACGCTACAGCAGGAATCACGGATGGCAGGCTCCAGCAGCCTGCAACAGGCTGAGACATATGCCCAGGCCTAAAGGATTACAGGTCAGGTCACACCTTAAAGGTTCAGTTAAGACCTTAAATCCCTCCCCAAACTCTGGGGCTTAGCACTTGCCAAAAATTCCCAGCTAGGCATCCAAGCCTCCAAGTTAGTCTAGTTGATCCTTCCCACCCCAACCCCGACCCCCACCCCATCCACAGATAGCACCCGCCTAAAAATATTGGGGTGAAACTGACCTTCAGTGGAACTTTGGGAGAAAGACTGACAGGATTGGAATTGTAAACTGCTGGGAAAAATTAGTGTTTTGTTTTGGTCCTCCTCTCTCTGAGGAGTGCTAAAAAGGGGGTGGTCTAGATCCCCCACTGAGAGGAACAGGTTTCCCTCCGGCAGTTTGAGGATTGGGACCCAGGTGACTTTTGTCCTCTGAAAGGGACCTCCACTAACTTCAAAAGTTGTGTAAGAAGCTTGAATTTGAATAACAGGAGGAGAAATTTCAGAGACAAGGAAAGTAAACCCAGGATCAAAGGGAAACTTGAGCTGGAGCCGGTGGGCCTGGCCCTCTGCTGGGGACAGAGCCTTAGACTGAGCAGTTCTAGGATGACCTAGGGACAGCATTCACAGCCCAGCATCACCAGCAGGAATAGTGAGGAGGGCCCATTGTTCCCCCTTCCCTAACTGGGGAGGCTAGCTGGCTCTTGAGGTGGGCTGCCATTCCCAAATGATTTACTGAATATGAAATGTAAGAGATGAGGGGGAGGCAGAAGTCTCAGACAAAATCAGAAAAGCATAAAGCATTTTTTGAGACAATAAGACTTAATACTGACAGATGACTCTGGGAGCTCAGGGAGGCACCCAACAGGGAACCACAGGGGCACAGCGCTGGAGTACAGGTAAAGGGCCATCGAGCCTGCCTCTGCCAGCACCTTCTCAGGGGAATGTTGACATTTGCACCAATAGGGGAGGCAGAGGGTGCTGTGCCCATTTTTCATATGGGAAGGCTTGTAGACCAGTGATGGCCAGAGCTGGAAGTTTAAGCCAGAGGCAATCCAACTGTCTCCAATTGGCCTGCCCTAAAGCCTTGTTACAGCCACCTCTGACCCAGATCTTGACAGCCCTATGACTCCATTTGACACTATATTCTAAATCAGGTTTCCCCATCGTGGCAATTTCCAGGTGAAGTTAGGAGGAGGTGAAGAGGGCGGAGATACGAATTCCCCACGGTAATCCAGTCAGGGTCGGACCCTGTGGATATCTCGTTCCCAAGTTGCTTTGCACCCCGACTTTTAGTTTCACTGTCTGATTTTGATTATCTGAAAGTAGTGTGAGCTAGCCTCGTTGCTCTGCGGCAAGAGCTAGGCCCCGGACCCGGTACCAAGCTTGAATTTGATTTTCACACAACGTGGACCGTTTGAAAATTTCACGGACAGATGGGGGTGGGGGGTTGACGTGATCCTGAGAAGGCAGGGTTTCCAGAGGCAATGCTGGGGGAGAAGAGGCAGGGGCCTACACTAACTCCACACCCACTTCCTTTCAAGTAGCCTGGGGCACTTTCACTTTGGGCTGGCTCCATTTTCCGTTTTGTTGACTACTTCACTGCCGGCCATTTATTTCTTGTACCGATCATCCATAGCTGGGACTTCCTCTACATAAAAAGAGAGCTTCACGATGGCTGCGGCTCCAAGCATCGGGTCCAAGAACTCAGGAGTTCATTCCAGGAGGTTTTCTGGAAGAGGAAGCTGTCCATGGTCACCAGGCAGACCGATCAAAGCTTGCTGAAAAGCTTTTCCACCGCCCAACCCAGGTGTGGACTCCAGTGGACCTGATCCGCGCTCCAGATGGAGACAGAAGCCACGGAGCCCTTGCTCCTGCTCGTTTTCCCAGAGTCCCAGAAGTGGGTCCAGAAGTGGGTAGTTGGTCCAGGAGGAAGTTGGTGGGGGGCACGAGGGACGCCTCCTGGGCAGGCTGGGTGAGTAGGTTCCTTACCATTGAGCAAAACTGGAAAAGCCTAGAGAGGGCTTCCCCTTGGGCCCAGGGGAGGGGATGCGTTCCTGGTTCTGCGGACCCCACGTTGAGGTTCTGCGCCAGCGCACGGGGGCCGTGGGGAGGCGGCTCCTTGAAGCAAGACCTGCCCAGGCTACCCCACAAGGAGCTGAGAGTGTCTCAGGCTTTTAGATTTGAACTTGGGAGGCCGAGCAGCCGGGCCGAGTTCCGGGACAGCCATTGGTTGCTGCGGCGGCGTGACATCAGCGCGAAGGGGTACGGGAGGGAGGGCTGGGAGGAGCCTGGGAGGGGAGTGTCCCAGCTCCTAGCACACCCGGAGCCCCGGGAGCCAGAGGAAACAAACGCCGGCGCTGCCATGGGTCGCCAGTCCTGCCAAGGCGCCAAGCTCACAGAGGGGAGCGCACAGCCGCACCGGGCCCGCGCTCGGGGAACTGAGGACCGAGGTAGGCGATGGGCATTCGTTTGTGGCCGTGCAGCCGCGTGAGGCCTGGGTAGGCTCGAGACCCCCGGTGACGTGGAGAGGATAGAAGGACCCAAGAAAAGGGAGGACAAGGACTCGGGAGCAGGGCTCAAACCGGCTACCCCCCCCCCACCCTCTGCGACCAGAGTGGGTAGGCATGACTGGGGCCAGGGGCGTCTTGGGTTTCCGGGACCCAGAGCCACACACCGTGTCCCACAAAATCTTTCGCGGAGGAGGGGGTGACAACAGGGCTCAGCGTCGACAGGACTCCCCGATCTGGCTACGGGAGCCACTCGGGGTGGAGTGAATGGGCAGGTTTTAAAAGTCCACCCCCTCGCGCAGGAATGGGGTGTGTGTGTTGCGGTGGGCAGGCACACAACAACCGCGGCAGGCGCCCCGAGGGGGGCGTGTGCAACGCGGACCTTCTCCATGAATAACAACAGAGTTCTTCTGTACAGGCCGAGGGGTGTGCGCGCGCTCTCCCGCTCGTACACACGCTGCAGTAGGCGCCACCCGGTGTCGCCCGGCCCGGGAGAAAGGAGGTTAGGAGCCGTTTGGAAGGCAATGGCCTAAGGAACAAATACCCCCTCCCCTTCCTGCCCGCAGGAACCCTTCCCTCCCCCTCCCTCCCCCCCCCCCCCCCCGTCCCGCCCGCCTCCCTGGGAAGACTAGGAGGCCAAGGCCGCAAGAGGCGCAGGCTCGTGGCGGTGGGGTTGGGGCTGGGCCGAGCTGGGGCCCGTTTGAAACCTGGGACCAGGCTTTACTACGCTGGGGCCCTGCGTGCGTGCCCGGTGCGCTGTGAACACCGTGCTCGAGGCTTGTTCAGGGGCGAGTAGGTAGCAGCTGGTTAATGATTTAACCGCTGGCTTTGGGACGTTGAAACTGCGATCCTGGTCTCTAGCTCCTCCCCATTGCTGGAGCGCCCCCACCCGGAGGAACAAATCTGCCCTCCTGTGTCTGTGCTGTCGCCAGCTGGAACTGCCTCTGCCTTTTGGGGATCTCCTGGCTGCTGTGGGTCAGTGTTCCCGTCAGTGTGGAGGGGTGAGTGGCGGTTGAGCTTCCTGGGAGAAGAAGGTAGGACTTGCGTGAGTGTGTGCCTGGGAGGGGGAGGGGCGCTCCCTCTCTGTTAACTCAAACCAGGTTCCTTGTGTTTGCCCAATGAAATACTGCGGCCTGGGCCTCGGGAAGTTTTCTTTTCCTCCCAGGGAGAATGAAGAGGAGTAATACAATTCTTTCTCTTTTCTTCTTGGCTGGGAACGTCTACCCCCTACAACACTCTTACCTTTTGCAATCTGACCGGCTCCCACGTCCCTCCCTGGGCCCACAGCTCCCATTCTTTGCCCAGGTAGTTCAGCAATTGAATGAGTCCTAGTGGGTGTCTTTACTTTGAAACCCACGCTGGCAGGAGTGGTTAGCTACTTTTCATCCTTACCCCCAGCAGCCATCTGGACCAGAGATCTGGGGAGCGTAAACAATGAGAGAGGCCCCTGGCAGGGGGCCTCTGACGTGCAACTTTGCCCCGTCTGGGTTTCCAATGACGCCTGCAGCAGCTCCTCCCGCCCCTTTCTCAGGCCAGGCTGGAGGAGGGGGCCACCAGTGGGATGGAGTGGATTTTAAAGAACAAAGAGCAGGGCCCACATGGGGAGCTCAGCCACAGGTCTCCCCCAGAACTTTGGGGGATGTGGAGCAGAGCCAGGCCTCAGGGCAGCCCAAGGGCAGTTGGCAGTAATGGAGCATCAGCTAGAGTTCTGGTAGTTGCCCTCTGTGTTGGGTAGCTGGGACCGGGTTGAGAGTGGAGGTGCCATGTGCCAGCAGCTCTCGTCAGCTGCCTGTATGTGACTACTGATTAATGTGGTTTATCTCCTCTGAACAGGGACTTTGCCCCTCAGCTATTTCCGACTGTGGGGAACCTTGGTAGATAAGGAGGGGAGCTTCTCTGGGGTCCTGGTGATCCATCTTCAGAGGGACTTTGGGAGCTGGTTGCTAAAGTGAGCCTTCTCCCAAGTAGTGGTGATTTGGGGATGTCCCGGGCCCTCTGGTAACTTCTTAGGGTTCACAGGAGCCCTTGCTCATTTGGGGTACAACTGCTCATGCTCTGTATGCTCACACTGTTCCTTTGAGCATTTCTTCCATTTTCTGGGGTTTCTGTCTCTCCTTTTTAAGACCTCTTTTCCCCTTTCAGCTTGTTTCTCACACATGCTGGCTCTCTGGCTCTCTGTTCTTGTATGGATCCTATGTGTGCGCCCAACCGCCTTTTGGAACCAACAGTCCAGGCTTCTGGGCAGGAAGTCACAAGCAAAGGGAGGGTTTCTTCCATAAAGCAGTGGTCCCAGGGCTGTTCTGATGTTGACCTGTAAAGGAATCCTAGGCCCTCCTTGCAGAGCTTTTCCTGAAGGGCCTGGGTTGCCTGTCATTTCTCTGGCTGGGACGGGCTATGCCCAGCTGTAGCAGGCAAGGTGTTTGAAGGTGGTCTCTCCTTCACTCCCTCCTTTCCCTTTATCCCTGCCTCCCTCTTCCCTGGAGGTTTGGATGGAATCAGCAGAGGAGGGGTCTCTGCATCCAGCATCCTGGATAGCTAAGGAGTGGCCACTCCAGCTGTTCTGGTTGGGACATCCCACTGGCCTCAGCCCCCACAGACACTTAGGCGCTTGCCCCTGTTGAGGGAGGGAGGAGCTGGGTTGATGCCAGCGATAAGGCTGGGGATGGAGAGGGGTTGAGCAATCTCACCCTGGCAGTTGAGCGATGACCTGAGCTATGCTTAGATCTTCGGACCTAACTAAGGTCTAGAGGCTTTTCCTCAGCCTTGGGAAAAGGGCTCAAGGGCCCAAGGCCCCGAGCCAGGGCTCACTAGCAGTGGTAGTTTAGCAGAAGGGCCTGCTAAGGACTGACTGCTGACTCCAGCTAATACTTCTCAAGCACCTCTCTGGGCTTGGCCTGGGACAGTCATTGAGGGAGGGACGGGATAGTGTGGCTAAAGGAGCCCTGCCTAACTTGCCTGGTGGAGAAAGTTCAGCCATTAGCTTCCCACATTGCCACTCCTGATACTGGTGAAACCCCAGCCTCAAGTGGGCCTCCTGGAGCCTCGGGCTTCCTTCCAGCTGAGGAGCACTAGAGCTTTTCCCTGCGGCCCCAAGCACTGCTCGCTTGCTGCTCTGGCTCAGTGCCAGGGGACAGTGCTGGCACATAGAGCCTACCTTACCTGAGACTGATGCTCTCTACTCCCCCTTTTCAAGCTGAGGCAGGGTCCCCCTTTCTGGTCTGAGGTGAAACCAGTTTGGGGGTGTCATGTTGATAACACCCCTGCCCTTAATCCCAGGGCCAGGGCAAGAGACTCCTATATGTCTTCGTGACACCTGCTTGGGTCGTCACCCTCTGCCTTGATTGTCACGGTGGCAGAAAATGCCAGCTGAAGCTGTCTCAGCTCCGTGCCATCTGTAGCTTCTCCTTTCGCCTGTCTCCATTCAGTAGCTGAACTGAGTCTGGAGACCCCAGTTTTAGATCTTCCTAGGTGTGACAAGGAAGCCAGGTCTGATGTCAGCTTTTCCCATCCCACCACTTCCTCTTGGCTCTGCAAGCACTGCCCCCCAACCCCTACCACCATTCTGTCATAATTCTCTCCTTCAGAATGTTGCCCAGGCCCTGAAGCATCAGACTCGGGACCCTCTGCTCTCTTCCCTTTCTGTCTGTGGAGACTGAGGTGTGATCAAATGGTGTGTGTGGGGGGGGGGGGGGCGTGGAAGGAACAGAGAGGCCAGTAGTGCCCTGTGTGGAGGTCTCCTAGGAGAATCTGGGAGGTGCCAAGGAGCAGGCTGCTCTCTACCGGGGTCTCTTTTGAGGTTCTGTGCATTGATGTGGCACCCTGGAGCTTATTGGGCTAGGTGTGCCCAGGTAAGCCCAGGGCTGACGGTGGATCCTGATTGAACTCACATTGTCACTGAGCGTGCTGGGCATGTTCCCCATACCTCCGTAGATGTGGGGTACTTACTGGCTGAGAGAGCGCCTCTCGAAGTGTTGTGTTGAGTACTTAAGGTGTTTAGATTGTTCCACCTTCACCTTAATGAAGGTGGCTTTGAAAGCCGTGGGGAAGCTGAGGCACAAGTAGCAAACTCAGTGTGGTGAGCCGGATTAGGATGTGGGCACTCTGGCTCTTTGATCCCCTTTGTCCCGTGTTCCAGCAGAGGCAGGATGGATGATCTGTAGTCCTGCTTTGGGGGGTTTCTCCAGAGACCCCAGAGTGCCCTTGTATTTTCCACTCAGCTTCTTAGGAGAAGTGGAGAAGCAAAGTGAAACTACGCCAGGCCTGGCAGGTGGATCTGGTTTCAAGAGCAGCTGCTTCCTTCTTCCTTCTGAGAGGAGACCCGGAGCACGAGCCCTGCTGACTACCAGCAGGGCCACTTCCAGACCCAGGTAGCTTGTCCCACTCCGGGTAGATCAGCTTCCCATCAGTCACACTCTCCCCTCGATGGTGGGGGCTTGTGCTGGGCAGCAGACTCCTGGAAGCCCACGTTTCCAGGAAGGGCCCTGTAAACAAGTGAAGCTGCCGGATTTCTTAGGTCACTAGTTCTTCGTCTTGGCTCCTTGGTCAATTGTCATTTCCGGTCTCTCCAAGACCCTGGCTCCTTTCCCTTCCCTTGTGGGCAGTTCTTATTCCCAGGCTGTGGGTGAGGGAAGCCTTTTCCTTCACGGCCCCCTGCTAGTTTCCTTCCCCTGCTTCGAGGCAGAGGGTTCTGGAATGAGGATAGAGATGGATCCTGGTCTGAGATTGAGGTAATTCTCAGCTCACAGGAGTCCTCAGAAAGAAGCATCGCCCTGTCTGCTTCCTAGGATTAATCAGCTTCCTCTGGAATGGTAGAAAATGGGGTATCCAGACTGGGGAGATTTTAAACTTTATTTATTTTTATGTATGTGTATGAGTGTTAACCTGAATGTATGACTGTTCTCCGTGTGTGTGAACTGCCTGCCATGGGGGCTACATGATCTCCCTTGGAACCGGAGTTCAAGACAGTTGTAGGCCTCTCTCTGTGTGTATGTATGTGTATGTGTGTGCGCGTGTGGGTATCTGTGGGGGGGGGGGTGTGTATGTGGGTTGTGCATGTGCACACGTGCGCATAAAACCAAATTCTGGTCCTCTGCAAGAGCTACAAATACTTTTAACTGCTGAGCCATCTCTGTAGCTCCTGAGATATTTTAAAATAATTATTTTACACACACACACAGCGTGAAATGGGTGGGCATGACAAAGTGTGGAGGCCAGAAGATGCCTTTGTGCACTCACTTTGTTCTCTGCTTCTGCCGTGTGGATTCTGGAGCCTGAACTCAGGCCACCAAGCTTGGTGACAGGTGGCCTTTAGTGTTTTGAGCCATCTTGTTGGGCTTGGGGAAATGTTTAAGAAGAAAGTTGTCCGTGAGGCTGTGGGCTTCCTATGGGTGTTCTCTGGCACCTATAGCCCTCGTTGCTTCTTCAAGGCTTGGATCCCAAGCATGGGTACGAGTCCCCCACCACTACACCAGAGTGGATATGGTTTACCGAGAGTTCCAGGTCAGGCTTCTCTAGAGTCTTCTCTCAGCTTTCTCATCTCCAGGCTGGGAGGGAACTGTGATGCTGTGCCGTGATATTTGATGTTGTTGGCGAGAGGACCCAAGATAAAAACCCCCAGATGCTCAGCACGAGGACCTTAAGCAATTTAATGAGAACACGGCATCCAGGCTGGAGTGTCTCCTCTACCTCATAATTCTTGTGACCTGTGGCCTGGGGAGAGGACTGCCTGGTGCAGGGTCTGGCTCTCCCTGATGTTAGGGAGCATCTCATATCCAGATGTCAGCTGATTCAGGACCAATTTTGAGAGCATCATTCCAGCCCACTCCTGACTCCAAAAGCTGCAGTCCCTCTTTTCTGCGTCTGGGCTGATCATCCAGCCAGGCTTTGTTTCCCCACTTCTCAGCCTGGCTTGGGTATTGGAATTGTTTTTTTTTTTTTTTTTTTTAAAGATGTATTTATACAGTAGTCTGCCTGCATTTGTGCCTGTAGGCAAGAAGAGGGCACCAGATCTCGTTTTAGATGACTCTGAGCCACC